TCCTGCATCTCCCACTCCCCTTGCTACCCTGTCACTGCACCACCGAATTTTCAGAAAATCTGAGGCGTGCAAGGATGGAAAGTATTTGGGACTGTGCCACGCTCCTCTTGGCACTTCCCTGCTTGTACCCAGATCCAAATACAGATGGTGCCAGTTGGACATGAGACATGCATTTTGCTTGTCTGGTGCTGGAGATCTAGGGAACTGGGTAAAGACACAGCAATGTTTGCCTGTAGTGGTTTGTTTATTTAATGCCTCCTGCCTTAAATCAGACTTATTCAATTGCTACTTCTGAAGACAGGTCACTGGACAGGAAACATTAACTCTGCTTTATTGCCACAGATGTTGCCAGACCTGTTGAGTTTCTCCAGCAGTTTGTGTTTTTGTTATCGGTTGCTAAATTGATTCTAATTGTATTAACAAAATTAATTTAACTATAAAGCCAAACAAATGGGGACACCGTTCATCCAAAATATTTGTTATGATTGGAGATGAAGCAAAACTCTAAAGTATACATGACACTCGATGTCAAAATACAAAGGGAACAAATGTGCAGTTTTACCTGGAAATATAAATTATCTGCCGGAGAGTGGAGCTGGAGGAACACAGCAGGCCAGGCAGCATCAGAAGAGTAGGAATGTTGATGTTTTGGGTCTGGACCCTTTTTTTCTGAAGAAGAGTCTCGACCCAAAATGTCAACTTTCCTGCTCCTCTGATGCTGCCTGGCCTTCTGTGTTCCTCCAGCTCCACGCTGTGTTATCTCTTGACTCCAGCATCAGCAGTTCTTACTATCTCTAAATTATCTGCCATGCTATGTTTAATGTGAACATTTTACCATGCTGTAGAAGCAACTTCTTTGGCTTGTGTGCTGTTTGTTTTTAAAGTGAATGTTTTGTTTTGAAACTGAATGAGAACTCCAGGATGTGAAACAAACTTGTACTGATAATTTCTGCATTGTACCTCCCATTGCCCTCAGTGACAGCAGTATAAATGTGGGAGAATGGCACACACAGGTCTGATTGCAGGCAATGCCAGGCTAACTATAAAATCACCTTGCATCTGTATCCAGTGCCTGTTTGATCATGTTAATCAATACAATCACTTTTTGGTTATGCCGCTTTATTTAGAATCAGGGATTATTCCCTTTTTTTTTGTAAGAGTTTTGAATGCAGAATGCATCATCTCTTGCTGAGTGAGTGATGCTGCAATATGTGTTTTAAGATACAGAAATATGACTTTTTGAACTGCAGCAGTCAACCTACTGGAGGTAGACTTGCAATGCTATGAGGGAGGGACTTCAAGGATTGTGACCCAGTGACAGTGAAGGAACGGTGATACGTTTCCAAATCAGGTCAGAGTGTGGCTTGGAGGGGAGCTTTCAGATGATGGTGTTCTCATGTGTCTGCTGCCCTTGTCCTTCTAGATAGTAGTGTTCGTGGGTTCGGAACCTGTCTGGGTCTTGATGGACTTCCTCTCAGGCTCTTAAAAGAAGAGGCTGTGAGATAGTTGATGCACTGGTTTTAATTTTCCAAAAGTCCTTTGATTTGGGAAGGTTGCATTAGGTTGGAAAATAGGTCACTCCTCTATTCAAAAAGGGAAGCTAGGGGTGAGGGGAAGAAGCAGAAAATTACAAGCTCCTAGACATAATGAGATGCATCCAAGAATATTAAACAAAGCAACTACAGAGGTAGTTGATGCACTCTAATGATCTTCCAAGAATCCTGAGATTCTAGAAAAGTTTGAGGGGATTGAAAAATTCCCAATGTAACATCCTTATTCTCCTTATAAAAAGGAAGGATGCAAAATGACAAGTCATCTTGGCCACCATTACTGATTCTTTCCAGATTTATTTATTGAATTTAAATTCCACTAGATGCCAGGGTGGGTTTTGAACTCTTCTGTCCCGGGCATTAGCCTGGGCCTCTGGATAAATAACACAGTAACAGTATGACTAGGTCACTGTCTGCCCACATTGGTCTTTTAATTCTCAGTACTGCTTTCATGCTGTGGCCAAATTTGTCTTTCCCATTCTGGATGGATGTGGTGGCATTACGGTAATGAAAAAAAATATGAATTGTGAAATTGTACGGAGAAAACTTAATTTACTTTTTGCGGGTAGTGTTATTATGTCCAGTTGGCAAACATGTCAATCTCAGACGTGAAGAAAGACTGGCAAAATGTTTTATATTGCTGATGGACCTAGAAACATTGAATCCAAACTGACCCCTTATCTTACCACCATACTCAGGTAAATTCGAGATGGGTACATCAAAATGTTTTGATTAACCATGGAAGTGAAGGGTCAGAAACAGAAAAGTGGAGTTGAGGCCAAAGCCGGATTAGCCATTTGAATAAAAGCAAAATACTGCAGATGCTAGAAATTTGAACCAAGCCTGCAGAATGTTGAAGAAACTCAGCAGAGCTGGCAGCATCTGTGGAGAGAGAAGTAAAGTTAACATTTCCTCAGAACCTGAAGAAAAGTCAAACTGGGCCGGAAATGTTAACTCTGTATCTCTCTCCACAGATGCTGCCAGACCTGCAGAGTTTCTCCAGAATTCAGTGTTTGTATATGATCTTAGTGAATGGTGGATCAGGTTCGAGGCCAAATGACCTATTCTTGATCCTAAGTCCTATGATTTTATATTTGGATTGTAGGGGGTGGGGTGTTTTGGAATCTTGCCCTTTCAAAATTGATAGCTAGAAACTGATATGAGCAGATTTACAATTTTATACTCCTATCAAGTCCTACTCCCTCTCACCTTGGTTACCATTTCTAATGCACCCTGTTTTACATGCCAGTTTTCCAAATTGCCCATTTAATAATAAATGTACCATGTGGAGACACCCTATTCAACAAGCTGCAAACTGACTGCATAAACTATGTTGTAGCAAAGCAGAAGGAGAGAAACCATTTGGAAATCATAATCTAATCCAGCAGAGTCAACATAGCTCCATGAAAGGGAAATTGTGTCTTACTAATTTATTAGAGGTTTTCAAGGAACTCTCAACTAGAGCCCACAGAAGGGAGCCAGCAGATGTGTTGTTGAATGTCTTCTGGAATTCTAAATACAAGGTACCTTACGAAAGGTTAATTCATAAGAGCCCACTGTGTTAGAGGTAGTAGATTAGCACGGACAGAGAATTGACTTGTGAGCAGGCAACAGTGAGTGAAAGTAAGAGGTTCTTATTCAGGTTGGCAACTTTTAACCAGTGGGGTTCCACAGGGATCAGTGATGGAATGCAACTGTTTACAACATATATTAATGACTTGGAGGAAGGAAGTGAATATACTGTGGCTAAATTTGCATACAATACTAAAATATTTGGAAAAAGTCAGGTTGCGAGAGGGATACATACAATTTTTAGAGAGATACTGAAGGCTAAGTACATGGGCAAAAGTTGACAAATGGAGTATAATATGGGAAAATGTGAAGTTCATTTTGAAACAGAGGACAAAAGGACGATGTTACTTAAGTGGAGAAAACTAGATGCAACAGGTAATCAGGAAGGCTAATGGGTTATTGGCCCTTATTTCAAAGGGGTTGGTGTACAAAAGTACAGAAGTCTTACAGCAACTCTACAAGGTGCTGGTGAGACCACATCTGCAGTACTGTCCCCTTATTAAAGAAAAATATTGTTTCATTGGAGGCAGTTCAGAGAAGGTTCACTAGGATGGTCCCAGCCATAGAGGGATTGTCTTATGAGAAAAGGCTGAACAGCTTGGGACTCTACTCACTGGAGTTTAGAAGAATGAGGGGTGATCTCATTGAAGCGTATAGAATTCGTAAGGGGTTTGAGAGGGTAAATACTGAGAGGATGTTTCTCCTCTTGGGATAGTCTAGGACCAGAGGGCATAGTTTTAGAGTAAAGAGATGAAGAAGAATTTCTTCCCTTAGATTGTAAGTCTTTGGAACTCCTTGCCACAGGGAGCTGTGGGGGAAGAATCCTTGAGTATATTTCAGTTCGAGATTGATTCCTCTATTGATCATGAATCTAAGGTTGCAGGGAAAGTGCGGGAAGGTGCCTCTGAGTGATGTCAGATCAGCTATGATCCTGTTGACTAGCAGAGCAGGCTTGGGGGCTGAACAGTCTACTCCTGCTGCTATTTCTTATGGTCTTAACCTTGGCTCAAGAAACCTCCCTTTGTCATGGAAACATTTGTCCTCGCTGCCCAATGACATGGCTGGAGGATTGCCCTACTGTGATTCCTGGTCTCACACACACACACACACACACACACACACACACACACACACACACACACACATCTCAGCAGATGTGTCATCCATGTTTTTAAAAACTGACAACGATAACAATGGACTTTGGGAATTGATTGCCTCATGTTATAATTTTCAAACATGATTGTTTATTGCCAAGTTCTAATTTCTTTTCTATGATAACTCACTTTGCTAGGAAGCACTTAATGCTTGACAAGCTTTCCAAAAAAAAGTTCTCAGCATCTCTCTATCTCCTCCTTCCTTGAAGACACTTCTTAAAACATATCACTTTGACCAACTTTGTAGTCATAGGTCTGATATGTTGATTTTTGCTTAGTCCTTAAAATGACTCGCCATGTCTTGCTGTTTTATGCTTTGAAAACTACAGCATAGGTAGAATTCCAATATGATACAATTATTAATTTCCAAGTTTCTTCCTTTAATTCAGTAAGAAATATTGGTCAATAAGTAAGAGTATAAAGTTTTGTCCACAAGAATGCACCCTTGTCTGCAGATACTTCTAATTTGGAGAATAGATTGAAATTACAATTTGCCTCAATTTATAATCCCTTAAAAACTGCTTTGGCCAGTCCTCCAACACACATGCGCCAAACTAAGTCCCATTATTTGGTTGATGTTTGTTTCACCAGTGAAGAGACTTCCCAATTCAACATTGTATTGTTGATTTGAATTCTCAGCTTTGTACCAAAGTCCTGATTTAGGATTCAAAATCATTTGAAATGATTAATGTTTTTATAATGAAGTATTTAATCATTTTTACAGGTGTACCCCGGCAACATCGTGGTGAAATATGGAAACTTCTAGCCGAGCAACACCAGCTGAGATATCGTTTACCTGTAAAACAACAACCAAAGGATACTCCATACGAAGAACTGTTAAAGCAGTTAACGTCTCACCAGCATGCAATACTTATTGATCTGGGTAAGTGTCCACTTCATTCACAGTTCCTGGCAGTTTTTGAAATGAAATGGGTACAATCAGTACTAAGTAATCTTCCCTCGCTTCTAACTGCATCTGGTTATTTATATAGGTTTAAAGATTTGCGTCTATTTCATTTGGAATATTGTAGACTTAGACATGACCTACCAGAGATGAACAATGAAAAGACTAGATTGCATGTCCATTGTTCAAGAGGTGGAAGACCAGAGTTCATGAAGTTAAATAACACAAAAGTAGGAAAACACTATATGTCGGTCAATTTTTCTCTTCCCAGGGGGTAGGGAACGTTTGGGATGCTTTGCTGTTTTGTGTGATATGTGTTGACTCTCTACATGTCTTTAATTGGGAGTTTGACTGGTGCTGGGACAGAGATTGCGTCACTTCAAAGGTAAGTAAATAACAGTAGCTTATGCATTAGCAATATGATCAGATGGACTGGTTTTTATTGCTCTTAGAACTCTGAGGGAGACTTTTTTTAAAAAGAGTTTCTCTTTTGCTTTATCGATCTTGTGTTCTTTTCTAAGAGGTGATATGGCTACAGAGAGGGCAAAGTCCTCAGTCATGATGATCCAAGACTTAAGATTTGGGTGAGGCTCAACGGACATTTGCTGCCCATCAATTTTCATGTTTTCATGCTCAGTAAAGAGAAACAATGTTTTGGCTTCATTTTCTGAAGAAGGGTCTAGGCCCGAAACGTCAGCCTTCCTGCTCCTCTGATGCTGCTTGGCCTGCTGTGTTCATCCAGCTCTACACCTTGATATCTCTTTTTAAAAAAGCCTTTGGCTGTCTTTGGGACTGGTGAATGGTTTTGGATCTCCATGGAGTGGAAGACCAGAGGTGCCCATTTTCTCTTCACATTTATTGGTCATGGTTGACTTTCCTAATGAGTGAACAGTATATTAGGATTAGCTTTACATTGGTATGACAAAGAATTAGCATGTGCCCAGTGAGACACCTTCCATATTTTTTCCAGATTATTCTTGAGTATCACGCTACTGACAAAGTATAGGTTGAGTAATGAGAATGTTCTGTTCGTCTGAGGAATAAAGTACCCGTTTAATAGAACCTTTACAGATGCAAGTACATTTTCTCATATCAGTCACAAGGACTTGAAACTCAGGAGTTAGAATAGCACTCCTAAGAGAAAATGTGTAGCCTAATTGGTGTGCTGATGAAATGAAATTCTAATCAAAAAATGGTTGATGTTTGGCTGATATCATGAGGAGCTTCCAGTCTTCACTATAACCATTGTTATAAAGTGGGAAAACTAAGGAGTTTAATAGAAGGCCAAGATGTTTTATAACTTCTACAGCCTGAGGAAATGAAAATGAAAACCAAGTTGAAACCTTGTCTGATTGGAAATGAAATTACAATATGGAGCAAGGTTTGCTAATTTTTGAATTCCTACACAAATGTATTTGCATCAAATGTCATGTTTTGGCTCACGTAATTTATCACTCCACACCAATTAACGGAGCGTGCAAGGACAGAGCCTGTGTCAAATGTGACTCCTAAAGCTGTACTACAAAAGATGTACCAAATGTATCAGGGAATTCCTCAACCTCTGAAGTGCATGTTCTATTAATTCATTGCATTGTTCCTATAGGAACGTGTACAATTATTGTGTGTTAGTGGCAAATCTAGTTTCAGATGTTAAGTGTGCTATCAGCCTGCAGAGAATCTGGGGTAAAATATTATAGTAAGCACACTGTCGCATTGTCATGCGCATTTTCTGCTCAAAGTTTTTGCAACAGGAACATTGCTAAATGAGGCTCCTGATGTAGATTTGCATGCTGATAGTTACTAAAATGAGTATCCAGATAATGTGGTGGGCGGAAAGGAATAAATAAATTTGAAGCAAAAATATACTAATTTGCCATGCCAGCAGACTTTTTAGTTTCTTAGTGAAGTTGACAATGCTGATATTCTATGCTCGTTTGTATTTTTTAGTCTATATTGATTTTTGTTTAATTAGTATTTGAAGCAATGGAAATGTAAATACAACAAGTGCAATGATTGGTATCAAATAGGTGTGATTGAACCTATGGTGGGTGGCAATGAATGAATTCATCGCAGTGCCACATAATAGGATGTGGTTCATGCTGATGGTTCACCCCATAGTGAAATTGTAGTCGCAGTTGTAGCTGTTATGAGGAAGTACAAACTGGAGGGCAGGTGCTTCCCCACAGCAAGGAAAAAATAAAGGGTGGTGTCAAAATGGGGCTTCTCTTATCTTGACAGTGCCTGATGAAGGACCCACCCAAAATCTGTATTTTTTTCCTCTGCCGTTCAGCTGCTTTGTCTTCATCATTTTCTGTTATTTTCAGAAACCCCTTACTTTTTCTCAGAAAAGAGATTCCAGAGATGCTAGTTTTATGAAGACATGATTTTCTAATTGGGAAGTTCAGAGATCAGTGAGAGAAATAGAAAATGTGCATCAGTGAAGGAAGCTGCTCAGACTATTGTGTCCATAACGAAGAAACATCCAACTTAATCTGACCTTCCTGCATTTGTTTCTGCAGACCCACAAGTTATAACTCTTCTAATAGACCTCCAAATACTTTTTAAAGGTGCCAAGAGTTTCTGCCTCTACTACCTTTTTAGGTTAGTGAGTACCAGATTCCTGCCTCCCTCTGAAAACATGTGCCCTTATCTCCCCTCTAATCCTCCTACCAATTATTTTAAATCTATGACTCTTGGTGTTTGACACTTCTGTTGTGGTTATCAATATTCACCCTGCATTCTCCTGCTGTTCGAATGACAATGACCTCAGCCTATCAATCTTTACTCTTTGCTCGAGTTTTCAATATTACAACATCCTTACAAGTCTCTTTTGCATCCTCCACTGCAGTTACATCTTTCCTACAATGCAGTGACCAGAACTATATGCTGCATTCCAACTGTTCCAACATAGCTTCCCTACTCATTTGTTCTACGCCTTGGCTAATTTTTGTTTTATTCAGTCAGTGTATATCAGTGTTGCTGGCTGGTTCATTTATTGCCCATCCCTTAAAAAAGGAAAGCATATCCATATAGCTTACTAACTACTTCAGAATTCCAGAGTGTGGAAACAGGCTGTTCGGCCCAACAAGTCCACACCAACCCTCAAAGCATCCCACCCAGACCGTTTCCCCTATAACCCACCTAATCTACACATCCCTGAACACTACAGCCAATTTAGCATGGCCAAACCACCTGGCCTGCACATCTTTGGACTGTGGGAGGAAACTGGAGCACCCGGAGGAAACCCACCCAGACACGGGGCGAGCATGCAAACTCCACACAGACAGTCATCCGAGGGTGGAATCAAACCTGGGATCCTGGTGCTGTGAGCCACCATGCCTTAATAGAGAATAGTGTGTTGTGTGTGTGTGTATATATATGAAATACATAAGATAATGCACTATGGCAGGAAGAATAGAGGAGCTGAATATTATTTAATGGTGAAAGACTGCAGAAAGTGACAGCACAGAGGGATTTGGGAGTCCTCGTTCATGAACCACCAAAAACAAGCATCCAGAGGCAGTGCAGAGCTGGTTCATTAGATTGATGGAGAGACTGTCCTGTGTGAAGAGGCTGAGTAGGTTTTGAAGAATGTGAGGTGACCTTATTGACACAAACACGATCTTAGGGGACTTGACAGAGTAGATGTGGGAAGCTTTCTGCTTCTGAGAGTCAAGAACCATAGGGCATAATCTCAGAATAAGGAGTCGCACATTTAAGACACAGATGAGGAGGGATTTCTTCTCTGAGAGCAGTGTATCTATGGAATTCTTTACCACAGAGGGCAGTTGAGGCAGATTCATCAAATATATTCAAGGGAATCAAGGGGTACAAGGAAAAGGCAGAAAAGCGGAGTTGTGAATTGTCAGATCAGCCATGGTCTCACTGAATATTGAAGCACAGTTGATGGGCAAAAAGCCCTACTTCTGCTCTTGGAGATAGTAAGAACTGCCGATGATGGAGTCAGCGTGGAGCTCCTCTGATGCTGCCTGGCCTGCTGTCTCCTCCAGCTCCACACTGTGTTATCAATGACTCCAGCATCAGCAGTTCTTACTATCTCTGAGTGAGCTGTAACCCCACTGCAAAGCCTTTCTGAAGAAGGGTCCCCACCCAAAACATCAACTATCCTGCTCCTCTGATGCTGCCTGGCCTGCTGTGCTCCTCCAGCTCCACAGTGTGTTATCTCTACTTCTGCTCTTATGGTCTTTAGGACCTGACGGTATACTTTCCAATGTTCCTTTGTACTACTTACATAGAAATTTCAAAAAAAGAATAGTGCATCTTGTAGATGCTACCCCAATGTATTGGTGATGGAGGGAGTGAATGTTTAAGGAGGTGACTGAGTTGCAAATGAAAGGAACTGCTTTGTTCTGAGGTGTATTAGTCCTCTTGAGTTCTGTTGGAGCAAGACTCAACCAAGCCAGTGGTAGGGTGAATTGAGCCTTGCCGATGTTGGGCAGTCAGGAAGTTACTCACCACAGAATTCCTAGCTTCTGACCTACCTGTACTTGCATGCCTGGCCCAGTTCAGTTTGCGTTGATAATGATGCATTCAGCAATGATAATGCCACTGAATATTAAAGTGAATGTGTTAAACTGTCTGATTTGAAAGGTTGGCATTGTCTGTTACTTGCCATTTATCAAGCCAAGCCTAAATGTTACTCAGCTTTGTGTATGTCGACAGGCAGTGCTCGGAAATCAGAAGCTGTATTCACCCCCTTGTTCCGTCTTCCTGGCCTGGTGGCAACAATAACTTCTATACAGAATGGATGGGGTTGGGGATTGCTCTGCCTGGAAACCATGAGAGGTCAGCTTCATGTCACTCTTTACTCCCACACCCTCCTGTCCTGGCTCCACACTTGGCTGGCTGTATCCCAGTGTACATGCCTTTCTGTGGATTTTCTGGGCCAGAGTTTAAGATTTTGCTACAAATATTGGCAACATTGGCCCTAACTGCAAATCCTTCCTCAATCTTTGCCA